AAACGAGCGTTCCGCTCGAGACATCCTCGCCAAGTCGTGAAGGTGGGGGTCGTATCGTAAGACGTAGTTTGCTACACATGGGCGTGTCGCCCGAGACATCCTCCAGCCATGGAGACCTTGAACTCGCTCGCCTCATTTTCGGATCCTCGACAATGGGCGTTTCGCCTGAGACATCCTCGGACCCGACAGAGCTTTTGTGAGGCATGTTTTCGGAGCGATCTCGGATGACCTCCAAGACGGCCCAACAAGCGAACGCATTGAAAAACCATGGTTGTTTTAACACGGTCGTTGACCAATCAGCGTTTCGTTCGAGACATCCCTTACGCATTGCCTTCGAACGGGCCCTCGAAACCATATTGTCTCCTCCTCCTCCTCCGCCTCCTTCACCCCCTCCTCCTCTTCCTCCTCCTCTTCCGTCTTCTCCTCCTGCTCCTGTTCCTCCTCATCCTTCCCTTCCTCTTCCTCCTCATGGTCTTGCGTCTCCACCTCCTCCTCCTCCTCCTCCTCCCGTTCGTCCTCCTTCTCCGTCCTCCTCCCCCTCCTCCGCCTCGTCTTCCGCCTCCTCTTCCTCCTCCTGCTCCTGTTCCTCCTCTTCCTCGTCCTCCTCCCGTCCTCTCCTCACCCTCTGTTCCTGCTGATGCTGCTGCTGCTGCTGGTCCTCCTCCTCCTTCTCCCCCTCCTCCTCCTCCTCCTCCCCCTCCTCCTCCTCCTCCACCTCCTCATCCTCCTCCTCCTTCTCCCCCTCCTCCCACGGTCGTCGTTTTCGTCGTCGTCCTCATGCGGAGGAGTGAGGAGGATAATCAGGAAGATGCTTGTGAACGTTCGGGGGGGGGGGGCGTGTCCATACGTATCTTCTGTGAGCGTTCGGAGAGCTCGCCTATGTTACACTTGATCGCGATGATGCTGCAAGTTTGTGCGCAACGCTTCCCTTTCACGCGCTTCCCGTTCATGCCAGGACAGGTCCATACGTGTCTCTTGTGAGCGGTCGAAGAGCTCGTCTATATTACATGTGATCGCGATGATGCTGCAAGTGGTGTTGCGCAACTCGTCCCTGTCACGCGCTTCCCGTTCATGTCAGGAACGGTTCTCAAAATGGCCATTGCGCCTGAGACATCCTCACGAAATGGAGATGGATGAGGCTATCGTTTAAGACGTTGTTCTTTAAACATGACGGATTCGCTTGAGACGTCCTCAGCAAGTCTGGATGTAGGAAAAAGTCGATGATTTTTATTGTGCGTGAAACATGAGCGTTTCGTTTGAGATATCTTCAAACAACTGACATGGTGGACAAGCTGTTGTACTATTTCTCATGTTGGAAATTGCATTCGCGCTGCAGGCATCCTCAGAAACTCGGGAGGAGCGCGGCAGACGGAAACATAGGAGCACGGCAGAACATGAACAGTTCGTTGGGGACATCTTCAAAACATGAGATATTCGCAGCATCAGCTTGACAACATTCTCGATGTGCTTCCAGATGAAGACATGAGCGCCGAAAGAGGATCCCAAAGTGGCTCCAAGAGCGCCCTGGAGACTGCCGAACATAACGAGTTCGCTAGGAACATCCTCAACAGATGAACAACTGCAACAGCATCATTTTGAGAACTGCTGTTCTAACATCGACATGGAATCGCTCCTGAAAATGCTTCCAGATGGCCCAAGCCAGCCGTCTAAACATGACGAGTTCGCTCGGGACATCGTCAAACAATCAGTGTGTCTAACATCGCGTTGTAATGATTTTGGAGGGCATCGATACGGCCCCAAGCCCCAATATGACCCCCAAGAACGCCCTCGAGAGGACCCAACATGGCGAGTTCGCTTGAGGCATCCTCACAAAAAATGGCACGTTCGCAACATCGATGTTATCAAAAATAAGCGTCTCGCCGCAGACATCCCCCGAAGATGGGAAGTTGCGAACTTGACATATGTTCAAAAACGTGTGTCTCGCCTGAGACATCCTCACAAACATGAGATGTTGGAAAAGCTGTTTCCCTACCGCTCATGTTAAGAATGGTGCTCTCGCTGCAGACATCCTCAGGACATCGGGAGGAGCACGGCAGACGGAACAAAAAGAGCACGGCAAAGAATGCGCATGTTGTTGGGGGTCACCCTCAAGCATTGAGATGTTCTTAACATAGTGTTGACATCGTTCTTGAAGTGTCCCGAAAATTTGTCGAAATCGCTGCATACATCCTCAACAGCATGAGATCTTCGCGACACCGTCTTCAAACCGAAAGGCGCACGGCAGCACAAGACGAGGAGCACGGCGTCATAGGCTCCCACAGCGCAGGAGCATGGCAGCAGGAGCAGGGCAGCACAAACATGAGCACGGCAGAGTAAGCAGGAGCACGGCAGAACACACAGAGAACACACAGGAGCACGGCAGTAAACACAGGAGCACGGCAGAACACTCAGGAGCACGACAGAACACACAGGACACACACGAGCCACGGCAGAACACGCAGGAGAGCGGCAGAACCAATAGGAGCGGGGCAGAGTACAC